TGTTCGTACGAACCCTTCGTACGAACAAAAGTAAGAGAAATTTAGGATAAGAATACGAACATGTTCTTGCATGAGGCCCGTTGATCCTAAAATCTGTTTTAGCAGTAAAACTTCAGATTTTGACAACATTTTTCTTCTGTTGTAAWATGTGCTAGAATTACTTGGATTTGTACAAAGTTTTCTTTTTCTCTATAAAAACATCAGACTTCACAAATCTGCTCAGGATCATGTAATTCACAGCAACAACCTGTGTGTCTGCCACGTTCYCACTGCTGTCCACAGGTAAACAGCACGCTCTCACTTGTTGGTTTTTGCACTCCTGCTTTGGCTTTGATATCTTCTGCTAAATAAACCTTCTTCTCTCTCTTTTGCTTTTATTGTTGTTAAGAGATGTTATTTTCTGTATCAACACCTCTTTAATCAACTGTGTGCCTGTTGTACATTTTTCTTTTTAGGTTGACAAGATCGATAGTTTCTTTGCACCAGACAGAAACAGGGAGGACGTGATGGTGGTCAGCCTCATTAAATGTCCAGTTAGTCAGAAACACAACAGAACTGGTGTTGTTTAGTTAAGGATGTGCTGCTTGGTATCTGGATTGTAGTTATTGAAGCATAAATGCTACATCTGCACTCCACCCATAGGATGATTGAGTCGTATTGGTAGACAATGGCATGTCCTGCAATCCTCCCGCTTGGCTTACAAGCTGCTCTGTGGCTGCTTGTGGGTCTGCAGCTTAGTTCATGAGGACATTGTACTTGTGTGAGTGTGTGTGTGTTTGTTTAAGTGTGTGTGTGACTTGCACTTGCTGAAAGACACGTAATGTTATCCTGCCAGTGAACCATTTACATATTTATTTCCCCATCTAAACAATGCCACATGCACTGGTGGCCAACTGAGACCTTGTATGGCTGCCTTTAATTGGCCATTGATTCGTTCTGTGATGGCAGTGGGAGACAATAAATTACAACCTGCTTGAGAAAAGGGAAACAGCAGACAAGTTGAGTGTAAAGTGTCAATGTTACTGACTGTCAAATCTGTAGTTGTATAATTTATACATCTCTCATTTTTGTGTATGTGGCAAGGAGAAGTGACGCAACACACACTGGAAGGAAAGCAATGCATGCTCACTGTTGGACACTTTTATTTGCATAGGTCAGCTCACACTGGTTTGGTTTAGAAAATAAATGTGTGCAGGGACGCACTGCATATTTTGGAAGGATGAGTTATTCAGAGTGGGTCACAGAGCTTCAATTTGACATGAAATTGGTTCCTCAACAACATTCTTTATTGTCAAAATAAATAATGTGACATTATTATTCACTATATTTATGTAAAACTGGGTTCATGTGTGCTTTTGTGTGTCCCTATAACAAATTGTTTTTCACAGTATGGCAATGTGATGACTGTCTTTTTCAAATGAATATTAATGAAAGAAAATATGAATACAAACTGCTTTKGTTTGCAGTTTGACAATAACGCAGGACATTGGCATTTCATTGCAGTTTAATAAAGCTCATGGGAATGACGTGAAGAGGGAGATTTAATGTTTATTTTTTCTGTCAAGAGAGCAATTGTTCCAGCTATGAACTTGACTGGTGCCTGARGTTGGAGTTTATAGCTGACGTTTTTGCACAGAATCGACAATGAAGTTCAAGAAATGGCCAAATGAAATGAACCTTTTCATCTTTGTGATTTTAAACTCCACCAAGCTGGTACTGTGGCTCAGTTGTTGCCTCCCAGCAAGAAGGTTGTTGGATCGAATCTCGGCCGGGAACCTTTCTGGGTAGAGTTTGCATGTTCTCTCTGTGCATGCGTGGGTTTTCTCCYGATACTCGGGTGTCCTGCCACAGACCAAAAACATGACTGTTAGGTGAATCAGTAACTTTAATTTGTCCCTAGGTGTGAGTGAGAGRGAACAGTTGTTTGTCTTGTTTCTCTTGATGTGTCCCTGTGATGGATTTGCAACCTGTCCAAGGTGTACCCCYCCCTTCGCCGTGACTGCTGGATATGGACTCCTGTGRCCCCCGTGACCCTGAAAGGAAGAAGCGTGTAAAAGATAATGAATAAATGGATTTCAAATCCCTTGATTTCCTAATAGTGGGGTCTCGATGGTCGTCTCTGCAGTACGGATGGCGTGATTTTTGATTCAATCGTCTTTCGGCGATTGAAGGGTTGGAATGCATTTTTTTTAAGGGCGATCTTTATTAATTAATTAAATGTCATGCCAGGGATGTAAAATAAATTTTAAATGCGCCCTTCTCTGTAAATTAAAATGTTTTAATCATCGTCATTGTGATCTGTGCAAATGAGGGAATAAAATAACAGTGCTGCGTCTCTTGTTTTTTTTTTTTTCTCGGAGTCAGAGCCAACATGTACATCTCTCTTCTCGTCATCTTCTTGCTTTGATGTGCCCCAAGTGACCCAAATAGTGCTATATTATTATGTTTAGTTACAAAACGAATAATCCATGACAATCATACATTTGAACAAAAAACTTTAACCAGTTTCGAACCAGACCGGAGCGCATTCCCTCACCCCTGCTCATCCCRGTCACTCTGGGCTCTGGTGCATGTGTTTGAAGTGTGCCAGTGTTGTACAAAATTCAGTTCCCCTGTGCAAATCTGTTCCCCCTGTGTTGGGAGCACCTCCCTCATATTAACCATTTAGGATTGGTCTGACGTTATGCCTGGACCAGTGATTCCCTCTAAGGTTAACCACTAGGGGGAACAGATTTTCACAGGGGAACTGAATTTCACACATCAGCCCGCGGGTCGAACTTTTCACCCCTCTCCACATATGAACTCGTATGAACCATAAGGTGWGATTGGTCAGAAGTTTGTGGGAGTGTTTGTTTGTGCTAAAAGCACTCAGACGCTGCATTTGCTTCAACCACTCGCTTAAAAAAAGAGAGAAAAAAGTGACTCGTTTGAACGCCGACTACCAGGAAGCAGCGATTTATAAAGATAGTCAAACAGCCAAAACCTCATAAAAGGGGATAAAACAGACTATTTTCACGGTGAAATCTGACTGATAAAAACTTTTGAGCTTAATCCTGGACCAGTTTGTGGATCGAGTGACGAGTGTCTGACTTTTTTTCCGCATTGGGTATGTGCGAACACGAACGCTGAATAGCACGGAATTTACAAGCGACTTTAGAAAAAAAGAAGCCGTGGTTTATAATAAGCGGACCTGCTTTCTTTTTTTCTTTTTTCTTTTAACAACGTAACTGCGCATGCCTTATCAGCCGATTGTATCGTTTATCGGCYATAGCTAGTGACAATGATTTATGATCTGAAAATAGAGACGATTTCCCATCCCTACTCTGCAGCTGTGGTGGGTGCAGAGGAAGAAATTAGGTTGACTTCCTCTGTTGGATAAATTGATATTTTTAAAAGAAGTATATCAGTTTTCTTTCTTGTAATATTGAGACACCTCCTCCAACCCTTAGGGGGCAGTATAGCTTATGTGATGTGAAATGGCCCACGTATTCTGGAAGTGCCTTTGTCCTTAAAAGCAGACATTTGGACACATTTTTTAAATAATTTTAAATATATAATAGAATTTTATAATATTTTGCTTGTTTTGAGTCAGTGGCATTGAGCAATAAGTACAAAATAATATCTATTGAATCAAGCTGCAGTATATCAAGAATCGTATCATGTTGAGCTCTGTATAGAAAATCATATTGAATCCCCAGGTGACACCCAGCCCTAATGTAACCCTGCAATAATGACTTTTCATAGGGCAATAAGGTTTCAGACAGAAATGACCAGGCAAACAGCCTCTGCTCTTTTGATTGTTTCTTCTGCTTGTTGCTGTGTTAAGTCAGCCTCTTTGTCCAAACTGCCTAATATAACTCCCCAGTGGGGCCACTGGAATCTGTGAGTAGATTTCCYAAGCGCCGTCATCCAGCAGTCATCCTGCTTCTCTTAAGTGGAACTATCCCGGGAATGCTCCCTCCTGCTGCGTTGCAAACACCCCGGTCCACTTCTGGTAAATGGCGCCCACCTCGGATAGGCTTTGATGCTGGCCTCGCACGTGGATGTCTGTGCATGTAGGATGTGAGCAGAGGTGTGGGTCCTTGGGTAAATGCTGACAGGCAGCCAGAGCAGGTATTGATCTGCAGCCATTCCGACCGCAGCCCAAAGGACAGAACGTATCTTCTGTCAGTCAGAAGGAAGGGCTTTGCAGCTGATCTTAGATCACAAATCCCTCTCAGAAACTGTGAGGGAGAGAAAAAAACAGGCAGTGGTGGAAGACTGATAATAAAAGATTGAAAACAAGCTGAAATAGTGAAAACAAAAGTTGGAAAAGAAATGGTATCTGTATGTCAGCATTTTTTTTAGTCTGTGCTCTCCCTTGTGATTGTCAGAGCTGCCCTGTGTTCACTTCTCCAGGCTCTGTTGATTAAGACAAACAGATTTCCAGACCTTTTCACCTCCGTGACCACCCACATTTTTATCCCCCTTTCCTACTTTGTCTCTGTCTCTTTTAGCAGCTTGCTCCACACCTTACAGCCCAATCAACTCACTCTCCCGACAGCACACATTTACATCAAGTAAATGACAAACACAGCAGTCATGTAGAATTCACTTTGCCACTTAAACAAACAATAAATTCATTGAATGTGGGCTATATGTTTATTCCTATAATGACTGGAAAACACCTTCAAAGATTAAAGTAGACACATATAAGCATAAGTGTTCATTTTTTTTTCCATCCTATTGATTTTTTGTTTAACTTCTGTTTGTTTATCRGTCTGGTTTTTACTCACATTATTTCTTTTCTTTAAGCTAGACATGGGTGTTTATATTGATAAAATTCAAGGTCGCCACAGCAAGCGGAGCATGACTCTCCTCTGCCGTGCTCCTTCACAGTGATTATTCCATTACTTTAAATCTTCTAAATCTGTTCCCACCGCACATTTAACACGCTGATGGCTCTCTGTGTAGCTTTAGTTGAAACGTTTCATGACATCAATCTAAGACTGTGGGCGCCTTTGAGACCCATGAAGCAATAGTGGTGATAATGGATGAACAGAGGCTCATCTGTATTTGTTTGTTACCTTTTTGTCCCTGCTAGTGAATAAATGACTTGTTTGTGCACTGACAATGAGCCTTTTGTGTTTGGGCTTTGGTGGTAAACGTAAAAAAGCTCTCAAAACTAAAAAGGTATATTTTATTTTYGTCACTGTAGACTCTTCTAAAATCCTGTTAATGAAACGGTGTTAAAGCTCGTTGCATGATCATCCTTTTTYCCTAGTGCCAGTTTCGCCTGCCTAACTTATTGTCAATTTAACTGTCAATGTATTAATTCTCAGCCAATGCCATTTAAACACCATTTGTTCTCTGTGTTTCACAGAAAATAAAAAAAAAGCTGTTTAAGTCGAGGCAAAAAAAAGTTATTAATTTTGTGCTGCATCGCCCATTTTTCATCAACCGAAGGGTCAACACTTGCATCATTTGTAAAGAAAAATTAATYCAGCTTTGGAACATTCAGCAACTAAACTGTGACAAATGAATGGTTTTACTGTGAAACATTCATCAGGTATCTGTCTGAGAGGACAATTTACAAAAAAAAAAGACCTGAGTTCACCTACATTTACATTTTAATTATTTTTGCAGTGTGTCTTTGGGTATATTGCTCAGCAATGAGAAGCGCAATGAGTATCCTGTCGRGTGAAATCCCCGTCACTGTCACTGTGACAACTGTGAGCAGATGTATCTGCTTAGATCGGATCACATCACTGTGATGGTGATGAAAACTTTTAATTCAAAGAAAACCAGTCAACGTGTCCATCCTTTCAGCAATGGTTTGTGGTGCTTTAGTACTCGTTGACATGCAGCAAAATTCCCCCAATTTTAACACATATCAGTGCTTAACAATGGCAAAATTCTGAACAACTAAACTYAAAGTTTGATGGTTCTTTAAAGATGACATAAAGCAATCAATCAACAGAGTTGGTTACTTAAAAACCTACTACCGTAATTACTGGGAGCAGGGCTGGGTGATATGACTAAAAACTGTACCACAATGTAAGCATTTCATATTTATCTATTGATCAGTTTTTTGCTTTACTTTGCCATTTTTTTTCTCCTGGTCCTTATTTTAAATGATTATTTCTGTCAAACTGGTGATGTGACCTTTCCTCTTTTATCCACCATTTTCTCTTGAGCTGTTGCACTCATTTTCTCCTTTCTCTCAATGCAGTTCTTTTATACATTTCCCAGAAGAAAGACCCCAGTCCAGGAGACAAACCTGTGACCTTCTTGCTGAGGGGTGACCGRTACAATCACTGCCCCACCATGCCACCTCCACAAGTTGTCCTAAAACATAAAAAAAAAAATATGTTAATCGATTGTTTATGAAATGTTTTCTATTATGAAAAAAATGTAAAAGAAAAATCCATTTATTGCTGTTTTGAACCATAGTTTGTACTTTTCAACATTTGATCTTATTCACAGACTCAATAAGGCTGTTTGGGGGAAATTAAAGGGTTTTTGCATGAACCATTGTTTTCTACTTCTTATGTTTAGTCTGTGATAGATGAGGTTGCATTCAGTAACTCAATGAAATGCAACTGTATGCATCCCTTCTTAATGGAATTCAAATAAAAACTGGATGTGTGGCCTTTCTGGATATACTGTATTTGCATGCAAGCTGCATTTCCTYTTTCCACCTTCTTCAGTTTGCATTTCATCTTGTAGTGTCATGCTCCTGTTGTTATAGCTAATAGTCTAATTATCTGACATGAAGAATGTGCTGTATGTTGTCTGCAAGAGACTGCCAGGTGCAGACGTTTTGCAGGGAAGAGACTGATAACAAAAGGTTACATGTACTTTTGAAGATAACAGATTTTGCACTTCAGGGTTACTGAATTAAAAATAACTCATGATATCAACTAAAGACAAGATGAAGATGTTAAAACACATTTTGCAAGACGTTTTGTCATGCYTTAGGGAACGAAACGTACATCAGCATTACTGTGAAGAGCACATTGCATCATCTAATACAGACTTTCTTTAAGCCTGTCTTTAATACGGAGAGAAAGACAGTGTGGAATAAATTAGTGTTAAATAAAAGCTTTTTCCTCCTTTATTGTGACTGAAACGCTTTACCGTCATAACGTTTTAAATTGCGATTGATTTTAAAATGTCCTTGTGGGTAAAACGAATACATAGAGAGAGTGGAAGGCCATTATTCATTTGTAGCATTTTTTCTAGGATTAATAGATCTCAGTCTAGGAATGTCTTCAGGCAGTATTTCGCAGTTCATTTGTATTTAAAAAAAATAACTAAAGCAGGTGCTTGAAATTAGATGATTTGAATTTTTAAGTGTGCAAATGTAATATTTGTACTTGATTAAGCATGTCTTCCACATCTTTTAAACCAAAAGATCCATCTCAAGGCATAGACTGTCGCATTTAAGAGTCTGGCTACTTCAAGATGGTAAACAGGACCCAATTAGACACAGTCGGTATAGCATCATTTCTGTAAAGGAAAGGCCTATCAAGGCTATAAAACACAGTGCTGCAAATCAGGGAAATGGGTAAGAAGGGAAGACTTAAAAAGTCTACSAATCCTTTGAAWGAAAACATCTCAATCCATTAGACTGCAACCTGTTTTTCAGCACACACACTGTGTTTTCRCCGGCTTTAATAAATCGGTATTCACCAGTCCCAGTGGAGACAATTTGGAGACAGTTGTTGTGAAATGTTTTAATCTACTCGAGCAATCTTTTTTTTTTTGTCATATTCAAAGTTTCTTTAAAGCTTTTGCCATCCAGCGTATAATACGTTCCTTTGACTCTGTGTTTGTTTGTAGAGGAGGAGCCTTYTGAGGTGATAGGGCAGCGGGTGAAGAGCTGCAGTGGATTTTCTGAGCGAATGTGATGCAAAGTGGTGTTTAATGGGCATGGCTGGAAGGGTGAGTAAGGATTAATAGGAGATTTCAAACCAATGAGCCGGGATATTTTTTTTATWATTTTTTTCTGAAGCGGTGCCCTCTTTTACCTCCCATTACACAAGATTGTCGTAATCTGTACCAAAACCCTTATTTGTTGTTTTCTTACCTATAACACTTATTGTACATTCACCTTTATCCCTTTTGGACATTATCTTATTTATTCTTTTCATATAATTCCATCCTGGAGAAAAATGTTGACACAGTTATGATTTGATATGCTGAAAATCTTTTAAATTACAGATTATGTATTTTTTGATATCCATGGCTGGATTAAATTCTTACTGGTTTAGAGCTGTTTTTGTGTTTCTGTATGGGAGTGTAGTTGTGTATGTGTGTGCATATGTGTGAGGTGGGGGGTAATAGATTTGGAGCCATCCTGCTCTGAATCCACGAGGTCTGCATAAAGCCCATGCAGACAGATGGGCTGTTGTTGTTATTAGAGATGTGGTGGAACATTGTCTGTACTAATGCCAAGGATCAACACAGATCAGAGGCAACCTTTTACCATCAAACCAATGGATGAGGAACCTGACCTGGTTGTTGTAAAATGGTTTTATTTACATCTAGCTGGCCAAAAAAAAAAACTAACAAAAACAACAAAAGTGCAGCAATCTGCATGAGCCTAAAGAGCTCATTTTAATGTTTCCAAAGCAGCACTCATGCAAGAACATCGATAATAAATGTGTGCGAATATTTACATCCAGTCATAATTGTTTTAATCAGTTTTTGCTTATTTGAGCAAAGTAGTTGGTTCCTAGTGTGCAAGTTCAATTAGACGTAGTGGGTATTGTGAAAAAAAGTGCAGTAATGGCAAATAAAGACTACATTCCATTTAAGTTCATTTTTTCATTAAAATTATTGTAGCCATTTTAAAACCGAAGTCTTTTCTTTTAAAATCATAATTTTTGTCCTTGTGTTAAACTGTAACTGTCTGTTGTCTTAGCAACAGAATATAAAATATAAAATCAAATAAAAACTTTGTCACAAATCCTTTTTTGTGACCAAAAACATCAACCTGATTTTTTCTTAAAGACATAACTCACTGTTTTACAATAATTAAATAAATGTTTATGATTTGATTCACATTTTAAGCAGTTATATTAAATTATTAATCGATACTTGATTAATCGTTACATTCCTACTCTGTACTGAATGAATAGACGTGTTATGTGGACCCGGAAGTTGAACCCAGAACAGCTTCCCAGCCCGACTCAGTTGGCGCTGAGAATGGGACAGCTGCTGTGAGGTGCAGACAGCTTTCTGCTTCTACTTACATTTCTATATAATCAAGCCAAATGATGATTCATAGTAAAAATTTTTGTTTGCATTTTCTATTTCTTTTGTGTAGGAATCAAATACACAACTGACAAAGATTGTATGATTCTGCGCTGGAGTATAAACAAAACTTCAACAGTTTTCATTTTGTTTTCCTTTTTTTTTAATTTAAAAAGAACAATTACTGCTTAAAAGCTTTTCTTGTGTCTCCACGGGGATGGGACCAGTTCATCTTCCTTCTTTCACCAAAAAAATAGTTTCATCCCCAGGTTCAGACAATTTATCTGTTCATGCCACGGAAACAATAACTAAAGGTTTTCTTTCTTGTTTAGATGAGGTTTTGAAAGGACCAGATGAGCTGTAATGTATCCGTCTTTCTTTAATAGTGTTTCCTTTCAATGGCAGCWACAGAGATTGTCACTGTGTAATATTTTTATGCGTCTAAATTGTAGCTTTTGTCCAGATTTGTCAGGATAACCTTGGGGATTGTCATTGGATTGTATGGATTTTATAAAACAGAATACTGCGCTCAGATTCCTGTGTAAAACATGCTGAGAAAATGTATTATCAGGAACATTAGACCCTATAGTATGACACTTTTATTTTTGAAACATAAAGCAAAAAGGGGTGAAAACATACCTGACAGACAGGATTTTTAGCCAAGGGGAGTTCATCATTTAAGAAAATCACTTTACATCAGCACATTTGAGATGTTGCTGACTCTCTGTGATGACAGATTTAGGCCCACACAACGAGACTCCTTCCTAATCCCCACTCATAGGTGTTTGTCAGGCCCTTTCAACGCCACAGATCTCTGGTGTTGAAAGGTCTATGAATAGGCAGATTATGCTTTGGGGTTAAGGAAAGTAAGCATCTCTGGTCACTTCATGTTTCCTGCTACGGTATTAGCACATACTTGGGTTACAGTATGTATTATTTTCCATTAGTTCTACTATTTCTGTTGTGATCGTTACAGAAGAAAGAGATGGAGTGGTGTGGATTAGATGTGGAGGGTTTGACATGTCGCTTGCAAAGCTTTCTTTGTCTGAAGATCATCTAGCAATCCAAACTGTAAGAGGATTATGTTAGGGAATTAAACTAGAAGCGCAGTTATCYTTCCCTTTTCCATAAGACTTCCACCACACAACCAGACTACAAGAAGCCGGGCACAATTCAAGTTTTTCCATATCACAAGTTTTGCTTTACACAATTTAAATGGAAGCTCAGCTCATAAAAAACAGCTAAAACAAATCAAGCTAAAAAAAAGAGACACCGCTTTAAATAAGTGTCTGACCCAAAGTTTGTGTTAGACAAAGTTTTTTCTCCGTAATAATTACCATTTATAGGGGAAAAAAACAATACTGTTTATTATTACCCCTTATTTATATTTTGTATTTAATTTAATGCCATGTGGCAGTTCCATTTTAAAGAACTTTATTCAAATAACAGCTCACGGTTCTGTAATCATGGAGTTCTTCACTGTGCTGTCAGCACAGATGCCATCGACTACAGTGCTGAAGTCAGCAAAGATGCRCGCTTGAGCATCGACAATGTCTAATTAAATCTACCCTGAAGGCAAAAGGTCTTTTACATGTGCAAAAGTTTTGATGCAAAAAATGCAAGATGAAAAGTTAGTGAAGCAGTTACGTTGCATTAAAGTGCCTGTGACATAAAATTTTTGTAATAACTGTAAATGCACTTTTTGAAAAATACAAATCATGAATTGGAAATCACCCTGCTGAGATGAACAGTTGAGTTATTTGCATGTACAGTAACAGGAAGTGATGTCAAAGTCAAATGACAGCATGTAAATAAAGRGCTGCTACAAAGACTAACAACACAGACTATAATGAATAATTTGATGTTTCTATTCATTAGTTTGAGTCTTTATTAGAGACAAATGAAGAAGAGTCAGAGCTCCACCTCTATAATAGTTCCCCTTTGATGTCACTTCCTGTTTCACTTTGGCTGAGCCAAATTCAAAATAAAATATGCCAGTTAAAGAGTAACTTACCCCCAAATTAACTTTTTTTTAGCTGATAAACTGTCTAGAATGTGTCTAAAATGTTATATAGTACTGTTGCTGTGCTAATTTTGATGTTTTTGTGCGTATTTGTTCAAATCTGTAATATTTGGTCTAAAAACGTGTTTTTGCTGCTCATATGGGTAGAGCAGTGGTACTGCTCCGGGGAGGAGAAGAAAGAAAGGCAGCGGGGCAGCTTCAGCCCGAACCCACACATGTCAACTTGTACAGATTGTCTGTAAGTTATGAGGATTTTACTTCATTTTGCAGGTAGAAGGACATATAGAGCAATCTCACGGATTTTTTCAAATCTTAAGGATATTTTAAAAACCTCATTTTCAAGTTTATCTAACATGTCAGAGCCTATAAGATGATTTAAAAAACAATAAATAACATCAAACAGCCATCTTCCAACCTGATCTGCTGCTAGAAATGAGTTACTTTTTTTCTCTCTCCTTTCCTTCAGCAGACGCTTTCATGTCCGCAGCTGACCCCCCCCGGGGTGCGAGTTGTACAGACTTTTTGCAAAATTTATGGATTTTTAGGGCTCTTTATACAGGTAAACATCCAAAGAGGTTGAAATGTATGCGAACCGGACCGAACTTCAGTCAAACAAGATCCAACACTTTTATTCCTGATTTAAACTAGTGATCTTGTGAGCAGCTGCAGCTGCATGCTTTTATTTTTTAGACACACTTTAAGTTACAAAATAAAAACATGTGTATTATGCCTAGTTTCCTAAATGTTTTTTTTAACTTTTTTATTTAAATTATGTCCTTGTCAAAGACATTTTAAGTTACTTAATGATGAACATCTGAGATATTACTTGTAATGAAATCCTGATAATGATTTTAGTCGTAACAGTGCAGCAGTCGTTATTCTGTATTACCTGAGCATATGTTTTGCATAAAGSCAGTGTTTACAGCTGACTGCGTCCTCACTGTAACTGTGATTTCTGTGCAGCGAAGTCAGTGTTGCACCTATATTCATTTATATTCGTAATGCAGCGACACCTTTATCTCTCCAGGCAACAACAACACCAGTGTTCTTCCAACACCTCCTGTGAGCGGTTGAAGCATCATGCATACCAATGTATTTGTTTGTGTTTATGTCCCCACAAAAAGGCGAGATGAAAAGCAGGCTGTAGAAGGGGAAAAAAAGTGTGACAGAAATTTAAAGCTGCAAAAAGACGAACAAGAAAACTGTCAAGTTACGTGTACAGTATTGTTGTTTATTTATTCAGTTAAAACAAGTCCCTGTGCAAAACTGCAAAATTATGTTTTCTCTATAAATTTGAGCATAAATATAATTTTCCATAAATATTTTTAGCTCCTTATTTTTTTTGAATGATGTGTGCCCAATGCTTTGACAAAAGAATGGCCCTCAATGGCTTGATGCTTCTATAAATAATAGTTGGGCTTGTTCTTGGCAACCTTTGAGGCATAGCACCTAGCATATAGCACCCCCTAAGGTGCCTTTACAATTTATCTGGTCCTTCGCCTGAGAACATTTATCACAATGTAAAACACAGTACCTCTGCAATACATCACAAACTGGCTACGGGGCCGGCGTAAATCAAAACTACAATGCCCGTGACGTTTGCTTTAGGTCCATAAATACATGTTTTTTGTGTGTTCAGGCCCAGTGGATGGCGCGGGACCTTTGTTGACCGGACTAACCCCGTGTGTTGGTGTGAATGAGGCTGATGTCTGCAGTCGTGTGTTCAGGTGAAGCTGTAAGCAGCTGTGAGGGGATACCTGGTAACGTGGCAGCAGCTGTCTGCTCTGGTGTGACTGGGCGCTGATTTATTGCCTTTACCTGTTC